GGCTGCAGAAAAAGTAGTTTAGCCTGGTGGTACTAGTTGATGTTTCTCAGTGAGGACAATTGCCACAGCCTGCATAAGGCACTATTCTACTAAAAATCGAGCGGATAGATCTTTCTGCCGTAAAAAAAATGCCGAGTTGTCAGACGCTGGTATTATCCATGTAACAGTTAGGCTTACTGTAGCTGACCAACGTATATCTCAGTGGATTAGTGCTACTGTAGCAATCCTAGGGTATTGCAGTTAGTGCGTTCCCGCCCGGGTTTTCCCAAGAAATACTATAACATTCTGTGACTTGTTTCACCGAAATATCATGAAGAGATTTCACCAACCTCCGGGACGCAACGGTTTCCGAAAAGAAATGTGAAAAAAGGGACGAGGAGGAGAAGAGTGTCAAAAAAAGATGAATACGTCTGGAAAGCAACTATGTTCGTGATTCTTTTGCGGTGCTTCTACACGCTGGGTACAGCCTTTCGACCCAGGATGCATACCTTCGCGAAGAAAATAATTAGAAATTTTCACAGGCTGCGTTTCATGTCTCATCGCTGCGATCGAAATTTATCTAACAGTAGCCATATTCACCAACGGAGCCATTAGGTCACTCGAAGATCAGAAAACAGGGAAACCGAGTTTCGTCGCAAGGCAACTGGGGCCCCTGAAAAGGAGCGTCTGAAATGAAGCTTCAGCGTTGCAGGGCTTTAGTCTGGAGACAAAATCAATTGCAGTTGTCTGCCTGGCAGGCAGTCTCGCTTCTGGATACCCCATCACCGCCCACTCCGCCGCCGCCGTCTATCGTCCTTTTCTCCCTGAACATGAAAAAATGCCTGCCATTCGAGACCACAATAAATTCCCGGACGAATGATGTCAGTGCGTTCGCTCTCACTGCTAAATTAGCAACAACAATAAAAAAAAATTCTTTTCAGACGACTTAAACAAAAAAGTTTTTCATTAGCTCAGAATATTGCGTAGTTGCATGCCCTACTCGACGCGGCTTCCTCCTTCCGTCGCATCTTTCCCAGGAAAATATTACTCTGATAAATTAATTCTGCTATTTTACAGCTTTCCATTTTACAGAAACTGTGATAAGAACGAGGGTTAAAATCTTTAATCTTCCCTTCCTTTCATGTTATTATGAACAATGCCAGTAATGTCAAAACACCCGGGCAATCGATGTGGGCATCCCACGATGTTTCTGGAATGCTCCTCTATGTCAGACATTTCGTCACCAAGCTGCTACTTTCCAGTTAGTGTCCTGAACGGAACCCTCTTTTGTAACTGGGTATGGGTCAAAGAAAAAATCAAAGCACTCCTCTTCACATCCGGACGCGATGTCCTGAACCACTGTGCCACCAGACTTTGTGTATGTCTTAGTGCCCCAGGAACGGCCTAGTACCAATTTTACATATGCCTTTAGGGCAACACGGGTCTTCCTTGCCTGTTTCCCAGTGTGGCTTCTTGTGCCACTATTAACTTACATAGATTTTTCACGACTGGTTGGTACCTCCCGCCTGTTGGGATGCGTGTACGCCACCTCGTTGGGGGTCGCCCGAAAAACCGTCTTTTTTCCGGATACCACTTCAGTGGTGCGCAACTGGTTGTCGCCTAGGCGAGCAGCACACCTTCCCTATCTGATTTTACCTCGTCGCGTGGTCGCAGCGATATTACTGAACGCCGATCATCTGATAAAGAGTTTTATTGTTTGTATGGCCACGAAGAAACATATAGCAAATGCGAATATAGTTACTCAAAATTTTTACAAAAATTTACCTGCCTTTTGTCAACTCTGGACTCCTTCAACCTTTCACTGCACATTCCTCATCCATTTCCATTGTTCATGAACTGTCATAAAACTGCAGAAAGGAGTGAAGTTTCTTTGGAGCGATGCTTGATTATCCTGCCTGCATATGTGAAATGCGCCGTCAGAATGTACATTTTGTGCACTGGAATCTACGCTGATGTTTCATCGTCTGAGAACTGAAAAAACTCTGACGCACATTTTCGTTCATCTTAAAGATAGCAACAGATCTCCAGGGTTCGAAAAGATGCAGTCAGCTCTTAGCCTCACCATATATTTCATTACGGCTGCTTAACCATACTAGTAGAGCAAGTGGACAAGGTAAGAAAGAGGGATTTTTCGGCAGTCATTTGAACAGAGACGTGTTGATTATATAAAGTGTTTTAAGCGGAAATTTTTTCGAAGGATCCAGCAGATCTGTCTCACAAGTCTACACACTGGAAGCGCGATGGGGAACCGCAGGCGATAAGGAGGGAGAAATTAAACCGACACACCTGGTTGTCCTTTCTTATCCTAAACACTTTTTCGATCAATAAAAGACCTTTTCCCAAAGAACACTCTGAAAAGTTCTTTGGATGGAGCATATTACACTGCGATAAGGTACCTTATCAATTACAAACAAATGCAATATGCGGTGATCCCAGATCCAGAATGCATCCCTTGACTGAGATTTAGCTAAATGGCTTACGATATTCAACAGAAAAAATTTGTTACATTAGAGCTCTGCTGAAAAAGAACCCAATCGTTTTCTTCCGAATATCGCACAAGGTGCAGCAAGCTTAGTGTGATTGAATGCGTCAAAACACATAGTTTTTTTCTACGACTTCACAACAGTTTTTAAAACTACTCGTCAAACGAAAATACATCCACTAGACAAAGGCTGAGGCACTGCACCGCGCTACGGCGGTGATGACATCGTTCACGTTGCGCCACAATACCTGAAGATGTGATTTTGTGTTTTCGAACCCACAGCTAAGCTTTTGTTTCCGAGCTTTCGCAATTTTGGAACTGAACCATCGCGATAAATATGTACTCAAACAGAAGCAAATAAACATAAAAGCAGTTTTACCTAAACGCATTTTCGCAATTATTCATGTAAAATCGTTTGAAAAAAGGAGTCCACACAGGTTTTTTTGTAAATTACAGTATTCGCACTGCTGATGCAAAACAACGTTGCCTGTAACAGTGGTAAGAAAAGCAGAATTATAGATTTTGAGAAAATTTCTTTAATTCACAAGGCTATCTGTCGTAGAGTAAGTAACCAAAACCAATAACACATGGGGGAAGATTACTAGCTCAACTTAAACTGGAAAATGGTTACGGTTGCTGGGTTTCTGATTTGTCAAGCAAAAGAATAAAACAGTGCTTTCATCTAATAAGGAACTTTGCGTTGCAAAAACCGCTTTAAAAAATTTGAGTTCTTAACTTTGCCCACTCACTGCTCACTCCGGATTATAAAACAGCTCGATTTAAGTCTAAAACCATGGATTAAGACAAAAAAATAAATTTTAGGCTCGACCTTCATATGACAGGGGGAATTTCATCTCCTAAGTTTTTTGGAGCTGAAGAAGCATGTAGTCAGGCAGAGAAGCACGCACCCTGACATGCTTTTGAATCGCTGTTGCAGCGCAAAGACGCATGAAAAGAGAACTGCTCATCTTCAGATTTATTACATCTGAGGAGTGTTTAAGCTTCCTTGTAACCTATAAAAGCACAGTCTTCGATTTTACCGCGACATCGAAGTGCTACTCGACTGCATGGCTGTGTCTACGAAATACATGTTTCGGGTGTCACATCAGTGAATTACAAACGGAAGAGACTGGACAAAAAAAAAATTTTTAGAAAATTTTTCTGCCATTTTCTTTACTCACTGAGTACAACAGTGTTCTTTTTTGCCTGGCCCTCAACATTTCATTGGTGAAAGTCTCCCGAATGCCTTCACAAACGAAAAGCCAACAGCTATTTCGTCCACCCACCATGCCTTTACAGTGAGGGCCACCGTACCAAAAACACTG